CCCCCGCAAGTGTTGATGACCACCGAATATTCATAATGAATCAGTCCCGCAATTTCACATCACTATTGAATCCAAGTTACCTGCAAAATGCCCAGAATTCAACGGCTAGTGCAGCTGCAGCGGCTGCAGCAGCGGCCGCTGCTGTTTCTGCTGCAATTGCAAATGGCACATCACTGAATGCCAACTCGTTATCCGGAGGAAAAAAGCGTGATGCCGATGGTAATTATTGAGTAGTTAAGCATAATATTTCACATTTGTACTTCATCTCCATCGATTTTCACTCCATATCTCATTAACTCATTAAAAACATTATTTTTTGAGAAAAATATTGTCGAATTTTGTTCGTTTAGAGGGAAAAAGGTGATACTGATGATAATTTTTCATTATTGGAGCATTTCCCATATTCATTTCTCAATTTCCCATATTTTTTACCCATTTTTTACTTCATCTTCATCGATTTTCACTCCATATCTCATTAACTCATTAAAAACATTACTTTTTGAGAAAAATATTGTCTAATTTTGTTCGTTTAGAGGGAAAAAGGTGATATTGATGATAATTTTTCATTATTGGAGCATTTCCCATCTTCATTTCTCAATTTCCCATATTTTTTACCCATTTTTTACTTCATCTTCATCGATTTTCACTCCATATCTCATTAACTCATTAAAAACATTATTTTTTGAGAAAAATATTGTTGAATTTTGTTCGTTTAAAGGGAAAAAGGTGATACTGATGATAATTTTTCATTATTGGAGCATTTCTCATCTTCATTTCTCAATTTCCCATATTTTTTACCCATTTTTTACTTCATCTTCATCGATTTTCACTCCATATCTCATTAATTCATTAAAAACATTATTTTTTCAGAAAAATTTGTCTAATTTTGTTCGTTTAGAGGGGAAAAGGCGATATTGATCATAATTTTTCATTATTGGAGCATTTCCCATATTTTTTACCCATTTTTTACTTCATCTTCATCGATTTTCACTCCATATCTCATTAATTCATTAAAAACATTACTTTTTGAGAAAAATATTGTCGAATTGTGTTCGTTTAGAGGGAAAAAGGTGATACTGATGATAATTTTTCATTATTGGAGCATTTCCCATCTTCATTTCTCAATTTCCCATATTTTTTACCCATTTTTTACTTCATCTTCATCGATTTTCACTCCATATCTCATTAATTCATTGAAAACATTATTTTTCGAGAAAAATATTGTCTAATTTTGTTCGTTTAGAGGGGAAAAGGTGATATTGATGATAATTTTTCATTATTGGAGCATTTCCCATCTTCATTTCTCAATTTCCCATATTTTTTACCCATTTTTTACTTCATCTTCATCGATTTTCACTCCATATCTCATTAATTCATTAAAAACATTATTTTTTGAGAAAAATATTGTCTAATTTTGTTCGTTTAGAGGGAAAAAGGTGATATTGATCATAATTTTTCATTATTGGAGCATTTCTCATATTTTTTACCCATTTTTTACTTCATCTTCATCGATTCTCACTCCATATCTCATTAATTCATTAAAAACATTATTTTTTGAGAAAAATATTGTCTAAGTTTGTTCGTTTAGAGGGAAAAAGGTGATATTGATCATAATTTTTCATTATTGGAGCATTTCTCATCTTCATTTCGCAATTTCCCATATTTTTTACCCATTTTTTACTTCATCTTCATCGATTTTCACTCCATATCTCATTAATTCATTAAAAACATTATTTTTTGAGAAAAATATTGTCTAATTTTGTTCGTTTAGAGGGGAAAAGGTGATACTGATGATAATTTTTCATTATTGGAGCATTTCCCATCTTCATTTCTCGATTTCCCATATTTTTTACCCATTTTTTACTTCATCTTCATCGATTTTCACTCCATATCTCATTATTTAATTAACAATATTATTTTTTGAGAAAAATATTGTCTAATTTTGTTCATTTAGAGGAAAAAGATGATATTAATGATAATTTTTCACTATTGGAACATTTCCCATCTTTATCTCTCAATTTCCCATATGTTTTACTCATTTTTTACTTCGTCTTCATCATTTTTTTATTACTTTCCTCATTTCAATGAAAAAAACCTGATGCCGATAGTAATTATTGAGTATTTAAGCATCTCTCGATTTACGATATTCTTCATTTCACATAATTGTTCCATTTATTTTCAACTTCTCCTTAAAAATCTCATTATTTACCCCAAAAAGTAGTTTTTTTCCCTATCTCAATAAAAAAAAATAGACAATAGTGGTATTCACTCACTATTAAAACATTTCTTACTTTGATTTCACACTTCTTCACATTTGTCATTCGTTTTCAACCTCATCTTTATCATTTTCTCCTTTATCTTCAACTTCACACTTTACAATTCCTCAAAAACCTCATTATTTCTCCCAGAAAATACCGTTTTTTTTTTATTTATTCCAAAAAAAGCTGATACCAACTCCAATGACTCATTATTGGAACACCTCTCACCTTCATTCCTCAATCCTTCTCATTTATCCCACTTATTAAGTGACGTATTCGATTGGTTTGTCCTTAGGGGATCATTCACACTGAACTTTGAGAATTGTGTTTCCTCCTGCATTTATTTTTTATCTACCAAACTACTTCATTGACTCAACAATGAAGACTCAACAATTTAAAGAAATTTCATAGATCAAAATTAATAATTGTAGGAGCAAACACAATTCTAAAAGTTCATGTAGACTTCCGTTTCCCCTTAAACCCATTCAATTTAAAAATTTCCCTTGATCTATTTTTTCCAGAACTCCTATTTATCTGTCTATCCTTCATTCACCATTTAATTTCCCTCAATTTCTCATCACACCTCCCAGCCCTGCATATCCTCCCCCACAAATTCATCAAAACCACAAAAAAATCACGTTATTTCCTCCTCCAGATGGCAAGCAAGACCGAGAATCCCGAGAAGAGCGTCGCAAACGTCGCAAGACCCGCTGGGGTGGCAGTGAGCACGACAAAACCTTCATCCCCGGAATGCCAACAGTCCTGCCGACGAACCTCACCGCCGAGCAGGAGCAAGCATACCTCTGTAAGTGCATCCTCATCTCTCAAATAAACCCCCCACCCCTCACCCAAAATTCTTATTCACCCCAAATGTCGGCCTTAGCACCTAGAAATTATTTCACCCAGCCAATTAGCCCTGATGTACTAGACTAAGTTCTCAAATAAATATCATCTCCAATGTATCTCCCATTGATCAAGGTAACAACAATCCATGTTTACACTGTTAGAAAAAAAAACATGAAATTTCGTGGACTAGCCATTTTCAGGAGAAAATTTAATTCGATTTAGGGGGAAAAATCATGAAATTTCAGGTTTCACTGAATTTCGAGCATAAATTTTCAATAAAAACGTGAATAACCGTCACTAAATTACGCAGAATTGCTGATTAATTGAAAATTCAAGAATATATTTGCTAGAACTTTACTGATTTCTGTTAATTTTCGTGGAATAAAATTCCGCTGACCAAAACTGGATTAAAATTGCACTGAAATTTCCAGTTTCCCTTCATTAATTCCCAGAATTTTGAATTTTCAATGACAAAAATCCTTGAAATTCCAGTGAAACTGAAATGCGATGAAAATTTCCAAAATAATAAAGTACTTCCGGAAATTTCAGCCGATTTTTTTAACAGTGTACTTAATTATTTCTGATTCAGTATACAATGGCGATCCTGAGGACATGTGTGGTAAAACAAGTGACGGAATCATTTGATAATTGCATCAATGATTCTTCCCTACCCCACGTTCTTCAGTTCTAAAAAAAACGATTTAGGTTTTAAATATTCCAATAAATATCGACAATTGTCTAATTGTTGGGGTTTTGCGCCCCCTCTAACCCGATTGGTTTACAGTTCAGCTGCAAATTGAGGAAATCAGCAGGAAACTGAGGACTGGAGATCTGGGAATACCGCTCAATCCTGAGGAAAGGTTTGAATGAAACTTACGTAACAAAAAAAAAACATACATATCCACAAAATGTCTCGAGTATTAAAATGACTCGGGGACACATCCTCACCTGCTTGAGGATTTACCATTCTAAATACACCAGTATTGATTTTATCTAATCCATCTTTACTCCACATTTCTTTAATTATATTTCATTTTTTATTTAAGCGATAATAAGAAACAATTCTCCGTAGGTTTCAGGCTGTGTATTAAATGAATTTAAAGAAATAACTTTTTATTCCGGTGAACTAATGAAAAATTAATCATCATTCTAATGAAAATTCGAAACAGGAAGATTACTTTCAGGTGCAACTGAAATGCAAATTAATTAACTTGAAAATTAGTTGAATTTATTTTGCTCCTTGATTAATTGATTTTGCCTCCAATAGGTTGATGAGATAACGTTTTTTTTTAGCAGGAGCCTGTTTTCGTTGAATTACAAAGTTTATTTATTTAGTGAGTGATTTGTACGGATGAAGATAAATTTAATCACTCTAATGAAGACTTTAATAATCACAGGTGATTTGTAGCAGGTGACATCGTACAGAATACTGCCGTTACCAGTGGTTATCTACGATAACTTGATGAATAATAACTTATTTTCAATTGAATTACACGAATTTTTCACAGCTAGACAACTCTTTTCCTTTGAAGAGTGTCAGATACTGTTATTCGATTAATGTTGGGATTTATTATTTATTTGGTGAGGTTTTAGACACGTCCAACATCAAAATTGTCCTCTTAATGATGAAATTATGGTGGGAATTAAACGAACATCTATCGGTCAATTTTACTCACAATCAGAGAGAATAGAACCCCTGGATAGAATCAGTTCGCTTTCTATATTTTTTTTTAATGAGCGAGTAACATCTTCGTGAGGGCAGTTGTCGTGACATTTTTTTTCGTTTATTTTATTTCCAGATCACCGTCACCAGAGCCCATTTACAGCAGCGATGGCAAGAGGCTGAATACCAGGGAGTATCGGACTAGGCGTAAATTGGAGGAGGAGAGGCATAATCTTATTCAGAAAATATTGAAGATTAATCCGGACTTTAAACCTCCACCAGATTACAAGTGAGTTGAGAAAATTAAAAATTTCATTTTGTTTTCTTGAGTTGAGGACATTAAAAATTTCATTTCATTTTATTTTTTTGAGTTGAAGTGAGTTGAAAAAATTGAAAATTTCATTTTCTTGAGTTGAAGTGACTTGAGAAAATTAAAAAAATCATGTCATTTCATTTTCTTGAGTTGATGTGAGTTGAGGAAATTAAAAAGTGGTTTTTATTTCATTTTCTTGAGTGGAAATGAGTTGAGGAAATTGCCAATTTCATTTCATTTTCTTTTTCTTTTTTTTTTTGTCGAATTGATGTAATTTTTTTTTATTTTCAGGCCTCCGATAATTCGTGTGCATGACAAAGTTATGATACCCCAGGAGGAGCATCCTGACATCAATTTTGTTGGATTACTTATTGGACCACGTGGAAATACTTTGAAATGTGAGTGAAATTGAATAAAAGATTTTATCTATTTTTAAGATTTTCTCATTAAATTTCAATTTATGACACTGGATTTTATTTAATTCATGAAATATATTATGCAGTTTTATTTTATTTCATTTGACTATATCGATAAAATGAATTATGCGAATTTCATGTTCAATTCATGATGTTGCAGCTATGGAGAAAGAAACAGGTGCAAAAATAATAATTCGTGGAAAAGGATCCGTGAAAGAGGGAAAGGTGGGGCGAAAGGATGGACAACCATTGCCTGGCGAGGATGAACCTCTGCATGCATACATCACTGCTAATAATCTGGATGCTGTGAAGAAAGCTGTTGAGAGAGTGAGTTAAAAATTCTATTTATAATTCTTCAAGAAAATCATAAATTTCCTTCAATTCGTCAATTCCCCAATTTTTTCCCTTATTTGTACTCCTATTTATAAAAATTCAAGTCAATATTGATTAACTAATCCATTAATTAATTATCGGATTACTAATCAATTTATTCATTTATTCATTTATTTACTTATTATCTTCCCAATGATTTTCACAAAAAAACATCAATATTTTTGGTTAAAAAAATTAAAATAATAATAACTTGGTTAACAAAATTTTAATTGACTAACCCATTAATTAATTTATATCCTCAATAATTCTGACTTTAAAAAATCAGAAATCGTAATTATTTAATTAAGAAATTAAAAAATCAATTCCAAGGGCTAAATTAATGAAAAACATGAATTTTTGATGTAAAAAAAAATTAAAAACATTGAGAAATTAATTTCAAATGTTTTAAAAATTCAATTTAATTTCCATTAATTATTTAATGGATTATTTATTCATTCATTCAATTATTTATTTATTTATTTATGAAAGATTTTCACCAAAAAAACATTAATCTTTTTTAATAAAAATCAACATGATTAATTTTTCAATTTTTAGATCCACGAAATAATAAGACAAGGAGTAGAAGTCCCAGAAGGTCAAAACGACCTCCGACGCAATCAACTCCGTGAATTGGCTCTTCTAAACGGAACCCTGCGTGAGAACGACGGGCCCAGATGCACGAATTGTGGTGCCTCAGATCACAAATCCTGGATGTGCCCAGATAAACCAAATGTTACGAATAACATCGTGTGCTCAAGCTGCGGTGGAGCTGGGCACATTGCGAGGGATTGTAGGTCAAAGCGTCCAGGCCAGGGTGGGCCAGCAGCTGCTGGCATGGGGGCGCTAGGACCCGCTGGCGACAAGGCCAAGATCGACGAGGAGTACATGTCCCTGATGGCTGAACTGGGAGAGGGACCTCCACCTGATCGATCTAAATCGGGGCAACGAGCTAACGCCAATCCTAATTATCCTGGATTGTTTGACAAGTAAAATCAACACTATTTTTTTATGAAGAACGAGTGGAAAAATGAAGAATTAATGATTTCAAAGAATTAATTGATTAATTTCGGTGAAATTCTGGTTAAAATGCCCATTTCGAGGGAATTATTTTGAATGAAATGAACAATATTTCTTATTTTATATCAAAATTCAGCTATTTAGTTTGTTTCCAATAGAGAAAATTCATTTATTCGTTACAAATGATGAAACAGAATTATTTCAATCAAATTTCACCCGAAATTAGACAGTTATTTGGCATTTAAAATGAATGAGATTTTTATTTTAAAAATTTTTAACTGCTAAATTATTAAAACAGAAATTATGAAATACTATTCTCTATATTGCCCAACAATTTCTCAAACTTTTCAATCACTTTTTCGTTTAAAATAGTTTTTAAAATCCATTCATAACAAAAACCTTGAAAATCATCAGAACTTCAGTAACAATTTCGACTTTGTTTCAGCAGACAGCAAGCCCCACGAGCCCTGATGGCCTCCCCAGCGCACCCACCCCCTCAGCTGATGCAGACCACCCCGATGATGCCCCCTCCAAGCATGGCGCCCCCTCCCTGGACCCAGACAGACCCCAACAACATGAACGGCATGAACATGCAGTGGCAGCAGCCCCCAGTGAGCATGCCCCCACCGCCAGGAGTCATGCAGCCCCCACCGCCACCCCCAGGGGCCCAGCCGAGCCAACCGAGCATTCCCCCACTGATGCCCTGGATGAGTGGAAGCAGTCAGCCTCCACCACCGGGTCAGATGCCCCCGACTCAGATACCCCCACCAGGAATGGGCATTCCACCCTGGCAGCAGCCTCAGCAGAATGCCATGAGGCCCCCACCCCCTGGAACAGCGCCACCACCACCAGGATATCCAGCCTGGCAGCCACAGCACATGGGAGGATGGCCACCAGCTGCTCCTGTACCACCACCTCCTCAGCAACATCAACCCCCAGCGCCCCCTGGCATTGATCTGAACTCGTTACCAACTCTTCTCGCTCAACCACCACCACCTCCACCCCCCACCAGTTAGTTTCGACAGGTTTATGGATTATAAACGGGGTTTTGAGGGAGAAAATTCAGTGGTGAAGCGGGGAAATTAGATGAGGTCTTTTGGGGTCTTGTTTTTGGGGGATATCTTGGGATTGATGGGAGATACAGATTTATTTGTTGAGAACTTTTTGTGGGGAATTTGAAGAACTGCAAAAAAGGTATGAATGAGGATTTCGATATCTCTTATAGATTTTGAGATATTCATCGAAAACTTGAAAGTTGTGGGAGATGATTTTAGGTGAAGAAACTTAAATAGAGGTTTTGTTTTGGAGATATATCTGGGAACTGATTGGAGATAGCGATTTCTTTGTTGAGAACTTTTTGTGGAGAATTTTAAGAACTATAAAAAAGGTCTAAATGATAATTTCGATATCTCCCGTCGATCCTGAGATATTCACAAAAAAATTCAGTATCTAAAGTTGAATTGAAGTAGAAAAATTTTAATTCAATTCTTTTGTAGCTCTCGAAATGTCCTGACGAAAAATGCACCTTCTTCACAATCAAAAATATTCATAAGAAAATCACGAATTTAATTTCATATGAATTTATTTCTCTTGATGCTCAATTTTTTGTCAATAATTTTCTAAAATGCCAGGACATTCAATAGAAAAGCCCTTTCACCACTGAAACAAGAAGAATAGTTTGGTATTTAGCTATGAAATGATCAATTAAAAATCATCCTCAGATGATTAACAACCGTCAGCTATAGTTCATTTACCTTTACGGTTTTCAAACACAGTTTATTCATTTATTCCACACGATATCGAGACTAGATTTACGTACTGTGTGTAGAAATTACGTCCCCTGAGAAGTTTGTTTTATCCAACTGTATTTCTGGTACATTAAGGGAATCAATTTTACGATAATGATGTGTATAGATTACGAATTATCCTTTGGTACATGAATTGACTTGAGAGGTGAACCTTCAGAATACTGAAAATCATAGGTGTAATTCACGCATTACGCACGACATTTTGGGTTTCTCCTCGCTCGTTAATCGCCCTAGATAATGCTATTTTAATTAGGTATGTGTTATTCACTTTTGGAGTCATTGGATTACCTAAGAAATCTGGCGATTACGCTGTGCAGATTGTACACAATAAAATTGAGTTGAATTAACCCTGGTGTTGTCATTACGTATGCTGAAGTGATACTGAGGGCTTGAGGCTCTCTCGGGCATCACAGACGTCAAAAATATCACGTCACTCCCCACCTCAACCATCCGCTATTTTGCACCTTAAAAAATTTCACACCAAATATGCTGTGGGAGGAGCTATAATAAAATCATCGTCGCTATACAACGAGGAATATTCATAAATTTCAGTGATTATCTGATTGAGTTCTCTAGTGGTCTGGTATTTCTGTAGTTCATCTAGTATTTTTAGACGTTTCGAAAACATCAGTCGCCCCTGATCTACGAAGTATCCGAGACTATTCAATTTTTAATGTTTTTAAATGAAATGAGGATTTCGAAATGTGTAGTTAATTATGACGAATGATTACAAAATATTTAATAAAGGAATGAGTGGAAATGTCTATTGAAAAATTTCATTGTTGTTTTACTCTTTAGAATTGCATCCTCACCCTTTATTTCAATTTTAATTTTTTATTTTTTTTATTTAATTTAAATATTACGTAGTGCTTAAAAAGCTTAAGCTCAAAAAGCACTAAAAAATTGGAAAAAATCATTGTGGAGCTTTTTTTAAAACTAAATAATGAAGAATAAAAAATGTATAATCAATTATAGCGAATCATTACAAAATGTTTAATTAAAAAATTAGTGGAAATCGCTATTGAAAAATAGAATTGTTGTTTTATTCTTTAGAATTTCATCCTCACGCTTTATTTTAATTCGTTTTGTAATTTACAATTAATTAAAAATGATCGATTTTAAAAAGCACTGAAAAATTTAAAAAATAGTTGTTGAGCTTTTTTGAAAATGGAATCATGTGAAGAATTAAAAATGTGTAATAAATTATGACCAATAATTACTAAATATTCAATGAAAGAAAGAGTGTAATAAATATCAATTAAACAATAAAATTGCTTTATTCATTAGAATTTCATTATCACCCGTTACTTTAATCATTTACGTAATATTTAATTGATTTAAATTGATCAACCCTAAAAAGCACCGACGAATTATGAAAAAATCGTTGTGGAGCTTTTTTAAAAATTAAATAATGAAGAATAAAAAATGTTTAATAAGTTATAACAAATAATTACAAAATATTCAATAAAATAATGAGTGAAAATCTGTATTAAAAAATTGAATTGCTGTTTCATTCTTTAGAATTTAATTCTCACCCTTTCTTTAATTATTTACGTAATATTGAAGAATGAAAAAAGAATCGTTGTGGAGCTTTTTTGAAAATTAAATCATGTGAAGAATTAAAAATGTATAATACATTATGACGAATAATTACAAAATATTTAATAAAAGAATAAGTGCAAATTTCTATTAAAAAACTAAATTGTTTCATTCTTTAAAATTTAATCTCGACCCTCTCTTTAATTATTTACGTGATATTTAAATTAATTAGGAATCGTCAATCTCAAAACAGCCTAAAGAATTAAATGTGTAAAATATTCAATAAAAGAATAATACGAATAAAAACCAAATAAACAATGAAATTGTTGTTTCATTCCCTGAAATTTCACCCTCAGCCATTAATTTGATTCCTCACAAGCCATTTAAACGAATGAAAACCCGCCAGCATTGAGCAAGACTGAAGAATGTCGGTGAAAAAACTGTTGTGTCGAGCTTTTCATGCAGAAAGATTCATCATAGCGGATGGGCGTCGGTGGCTGAGAGGGTAATGGAGGCAGGGCCGTCCAAAGACGGTCTGAGAAATGTTTACACAGGCGAATGGCGCGTAAGCTGGCTGTGTCCAAATGTACTAATATTTTTGAGCTTTTTGCTGGCGAACCGAGGGCGTGGGTTGAAAAGAGCGTAGGCAGTTATGTTGGCCACCCCTGGAGACTCGGCGTGCCCATCTTCGGTAGCCGTAGCGGACCACTCATGCTTATATCTACGTGAGCTTTTGCCTCCAGGGTTCAGCCGCATCTGAGACGCGCGACGATTCACAACTCACCTCTTCAACGGTTAGTAGAGATCGTCAAGTTGGGAGAGTTGGGTTCACGTAGCATTCTCTCATATTGGTTTGGATTGAATAGTCTTGTTAATTGCCAATTCAGAAATATGAGTGTTTAGAGGAGAAATTGAAGGAGCAGTGGATAGTGAAAGAGAAATAATTTGCAAAAGTGGAACGGATATTGTGAATTCAGCAGTGAAGTGGTCAAACGGTTCAAGTCAATTCCGTTCTAAAGGAGTTAGCAAAATTTTCCGAAATATCTTTTTTGCAAAGGAGAGTGAGGACTATCGAAAAAGATCTTACAAAAATTTCGCTGTTTCTTAAATTTCGAGGTATTCAACAAAAACTCAACTGGGAGCTAAGTCGACTTGAACCGATTGACCACTTCACTCCTGAATTGAAATTCTTTGGATAAATATTGTGTTTTCATCAGAAGACGGGGATTTTTCTCGGGATTATCGTCCGAGAGGGCGAGGGGGGTGACACTCTGTTATAATTACTGGCTTTCTTTTGCAGAAAATATAAAAACCAATCAACATGTGTGACGACGAGGTTGCCGCTTTGGTTGTGGACAATGGATCCGGTATGTGCAAAGCCGGTTTCGCTGGAGATGACGCACCCCGTGCTGTCTTCCCCAGCATCGTCGGTCGCCCCCGTCATCAGGGAGTGATGGTCGGTATGGGACAGAAAGACTCGTACGTGGGTGATGAGGCACAGAGCAAGAGAGGTATCCTCACCCTGAAATACCCAATTGAGCACGGCATCATCACCAACTGGGACGATATGGAGAAGATCTGGCATCACACTTTCTACAATGAACTCCGTGTTGCCCCTGAGGAACACCCAGTCCTCCTGACTGAGGCTCCCCTCAACCCAAAGGCTAACCGTGAGAAGATGACCCAGATCATGTTCGAAACCTTCAACAGCCCAGCCATGTACGTCGCCATCCAGGCTGTCCTCTCCCTGTACGCCTCAGGTCGTACCACCGGTATTGTCCTGGACTCTGGAGACGGTGTATCCCACACTGTCCCCATCTACGAAGGTTACGCCCTCCCCCACGCCATCCTCCGTTTGGACTTGGCTGGTCGTGACTTGACCGACTACCTCATGAAGATCCTCACCGAGAGAGGATACTCATTCACCACCACAGCTGAGCGTGAAATTGTCCGTGACATCAAGGAAAAACTCTGCTATGTCGCCCTGGACTTTGAGCAGGAAATGGCCACCGCTGCTGCCAGCACCTCCCTCGAGAAGAGCTACGAACTTCCCGACGGACAGGTAAAAAACTCCCCCGCCCCCCCTCAATGATTACAAATCGCAATGTCAAAAGTCCCCCGACACCGTCTAACGAAAATCCCACCGATTTTCTAGGTCATCACCATCGGTAACGAGAGGTTCCGTTGCCCCGAGGCTCTCTTCCAGCCATCCTTCCTGGGTATGGAATCCTGCGGTATTCACGAGACCGTCTACAACTCCATCATGAAGTGCGACGTCGACATCCGTAAGGACTTGTACGCCAACACCGTACTCTCCGGTGGTACCACCATGTACCCAGGTATTGCTGACCGTATGCAGAAGGAAATCACCGCCCTCGCCCCCTCAACCATCAAGATCAAGAT